ATGACACTAAATGATGCAGCAAAGAAGATAACGAAAAAACAAATGAAGGCAGCAATCCTGTTTTTTTATTTCGAAAAGGCATACGATTAGGTCAATTGGGACTTCCTACATGCCTGCATGGAGAAAATGGGGGTAGGCCCCAAGTTCAGAGAATGGGTTAGAGTCCTCCATTCAGAAGCAACAAACAGAGTTCAGGTCAATAGGATTCTTTTAGAGACCTACCCGATCTCGATATCGGTTAGACAAGGCGACCCATTGACCCTGGCCATCTTCCTCTTCATTATGGAAGTCATAGGCTCCTTCCTTCGGAAAGACCCTTCCATTGATTGGCTTACTGAACGCAACTCCAATCCATTTACCCACTGCGCTAATGTTCGCCGACGACCTCACTGTCCTCATTCGTGCCACCAACTACTCATTCCAAGCCCTCGTAAGAGCAATGGAAGCCTTCAGACTAGCATCGAAAATGAAGGTCAATTGGGGCAAAACCAAAGGATGGTGGCTAGTAGACAGGACCCCACCCCAACCGGCCGATACAGCCACACCCATGTCATGGTCTACAGGAGATCAGGCACTAAGATTCCTTGGTATCATGGTAAACAAGGACGGGGTGTGGCCAGGCATGGTCCAAAACCTAGTCGCCAGGGCAATCACTCGCATGGCCCCATGCAAAAGTGCCCAGGCCTCGTTAATCGGAAGAGCACTACTAATTAACACGCCAATCTTCTCAACACTGTGGTACACGGCATCGATCTGGTCCCCCCCGACGATGACCTCAAAAAGTTAAAAAACAGGACCAGATGCTACTTATGGACCGGAAACCCCAACAGGACCACATGTACCAACAGGGTAGCCTGGAACCACATCATTAGGAAACCGGAGGAGGGCGAGTGGGGCTTATTGATCCCAAACAGGAATCCGTAGCACTGCAGATGAAGTGGATTATCAAGATCCTAATAAGACAATTCATTCCATGGACCCAAATGGCTCTGGACAACATCAAAAAAATATAGCACCTATCAACTCCCCTCCGAACGTGAGAGGCCTCTTCTGGATAATGGCGAAAGACTGGACAATCAAATCAGGCAGACAGAGCAGAAGAAACCCAACAGATTGTATTACAAGCCCTACTCCAACAGCAAATCCATACTGGAAGCCAACCCTCAAAGCCTGGCGAAGAATGATGCCGAGCAAACAAGGTGCACCAGGAAACAGATAAGAGGTCCTGAGACAACCTCTGTTCTGCAATTCCTGGATCGTAGACCCAATTGGCTCACCTTGGACACTACGCAGAAAAGACAGGAGATGGCTATCCTGGGTGGAAAAAAGGGGTGTGGCAGGTGAAACACATTTGGGAAGAAGATCGAAGGCAATGGTTAACCGAACAGGAGATCTGAAATGAATTAACAGGCTGCCACGCCCTCACAGAAAATCTAACACAGATTCAGAAGAGCATCCCAACACAGTGGCTCTCCCTCTTAATGGAGGACTTCTCATGGAAATCCGGGGACTGGGGCATACTCATTTCCCAAACCCAGCCTCACAGAGCTTACCGATTTGTTTCTAGAACCAATGCACCCAGCTACCTCTCCAAATTATTCTCCTACCCGATCACTAATCACAACCTACAAGAGATGGAAGTTATGAACAAAGAGCCCCAGTGTGACATGCTAGAATCCTTCCGACTGAGGAAAGTGAGGGTCACAAAATCCAAACCCTGGATAATCTTCCAACCTGATCTGTGCATCTCAGGCCTCGAATTCGACCCGAAAGAGTGCATCTGGAAACAGGGGAAATCTGGAAGAACGAGAACGATATTCGAATACAGTGTAAAATTCGGTTATGACTTAGGATTACAAACTACAGACCCGGATCCCAGACTCAAAGAAAAATGGAGGGAGATCCTGAACCTAGAACCTACCGACCCCGTTTCCATCCCCTGGACGAAGTACCCGTCCATCAGACCGGTTAGGATCCAAAGCATGCAGTGGCTCGTTGCCCACGCATCCCTGCCCGTCAGCCAATGGCTCCACAAGAGGAGGAAACATACGGATCCCGACAGCTCCAAATTATGTGTTATGTGCACAGACAACAGACCAGAAGATATGCCCCACTGCCTCTTGTACTGCACTGAAGCAGCCTGGATATGGAACAAAGCTCGCGACCTATGATCCCTCCTCTTCTCATCACCTCCTCCTCCCACATCTCCTCAAAACATCCTCCTTCTATCCGACAGTACTAACAATATCAAAGGCAGCGAGGAAATCTGGTTTCACCTTCTCAGGACGCTGGCTCTGTGGGTGATCTGGAAAAGGAGGTGTACCAAGACTATCGAGAGAACTGAGGTGGCAAGGGAAGAAATGTGGGCCCTACTGTTGAGCATGACGGAAACTGAGATTCGGTGCAGATGGAGGGAGGTTACATCAATAACGAAAGTCAGACCAGAACGGCTAGCCACCAAGAGACGTTCTTTCATGAGAGACTGGCTCCTACAGGGAAAGATCGCAACAACAAAAAAAAAAAAAAAAAAAAATTCCTTAGCCCTGCCAATACGCAGCTTATTGCCACTGTGTTTTCGTCCCTCACTAAAGATTGGTTCTTCGGCCCCATCTTACCATCCTTCCACTTCAACTACTCGCTCTTTCCGTATCTCAGCTCACAAGCATTTGTTTGATTTGTGAATTCCTACGTATGTACCTGTGCAAATTCAAACGATGATTGGAGATATTATGACCAACCATCGTGAGGCTCTTAGGGTATTGGATGCTGACATTGTGGCCTTTTCAGCATGAAATTCACACGGGCAAACATCCGCCCATTTCTCGCAAACTCTTTCAATACTCGCTGGCTGAACGATAAGCAGCTCGCACACTTGTCATGGAATTTGAAATGAATTGATGGACCGAGCCTGTAACCGGTCCGAGGTCCTTCCCTGCGGTTTCGGTCTGAACAAAGGAACGGGTCAGTCTGGATTCGCATTGATTATAGAAAGTTGTCTGTCACATACGTATGTCATAATGTGTTTCTCCATAAGCCACTTTCTTCCTTGCCCCAACAGCACCCTCATCTTGACATTTGCTGCAGTGGCAATGGACCTGAGGCCCCTGCTTTCCTCTGCTGGTGATACACCTCCAGTTTCCTCTTCTGCTCGCAACGTTTCGGTGACCCCTACAGTTTCCTTTGATGACCATTCCCCCCGCGGTCTCCTTACCTGTGCAGACAACGCCGCAGCTTCCATCTCTCCAACAACGTCCACCAGAGCTCTATGGCCTTGAGTGGAAAGAAACTACAGTGTGCAGTGGCTCATTTAATTTTTTACGCGTACATTTATGTGTCCGATTCAATCCCTCACTTGGGACTCGGGACGACCGTTTTTCATACAGCGGTTGCTTGGGACTTCCCTTTCATTCATTATGCAAGTTTGACTTCCGATATCCCTTCCCACCAACCACCTGGTGTGCTCACTGGGCAACTGACCACAACGAAACACATTTGTAACAACTGGTGAGGTTTCCAGACTGCAGCAACAACATCTACTTGCCCCATTCTTCTTATTGGGCATCCACCATTCTCTAAACTAGCTTCCCATCTCTTGGGCATCGAGCATCAACGCATTGATTGAAAAGCCACAGAGAGAGAGAGAGAGAGAGAGAGAGAGAGAGAGAGAGAGAGAGAGAGAGAGAGAGAGAGAGAGAGAGAGAGAGAGAGAGAG